GATAATGAAACTGACCTCCTTTGTGCATTGTTTTGAGATCTGTACCAGCAGTTTAGATCCAATTGCAGAATGGGAAAAACTTCCTAACTGTCAGGGTAGTTAAGCACTGGAATAAATTGCCTAGGGAGGTTGTGGAATCTCCGTCATTGGAGGTTTTTAAGAGCAGATTGTCAGGGATGGTCTAGATAATACTTAATCCTGCCTTGAGTACAGAGGACTGGACTAGAAGACCTCTCAAGGTCCCTTCCAGTCCAATGATTCTATGGGGAGACGTACATTGTAAGGGCTTGTCTACATGAGAAACTGAGCAGTAAAACTAGGCCAGTATAATTACACCACTATAGTTATACTGGTAACTCCCCAGGTGGACTCTCTAATTCCAGAGTAAGTAAATGTCTTTTTCCAGTATAGTTTAAGCTGCTTCCAAAGCGACATAAGTTAAATCAGAAAAAGCCACTCTTACTCCAGAATTAGACTGTCCCCATGGGGAGTTTTGCCAGTATAACTACAGGGGTGTAAATTCACACCGTACCTTACACGGGTATAACTTCCCATGTAGATATGCTCTAAATTCCCTGCTCCATGTAGCAGAGATCAGCTCTCCCTCTATGAACAAAGCACACCATTAATACTCAATACATGATCATACTATGGCTTGATCGGAGAGCGGAATTTTACCTGGAGTTTATAAAGCACTTTGGCACCTGTGTGATGACCAGAGCGTCTTAAACCCAAGTTTAATATTAAACAAGAACACAAACTGAGGGGAAATTCCTCAACCATCTTTTTGTTCTGTGTTTGTACCGCACTTAGCAGAATGGGGTTCTAGTCCATGACTCAGCTTCCTAGGGACGCTGTGGTAATAAAAATAACAGGACTTGGAAAGAACAAAGGACCAGATCATCAGCTGGTACAAATCTGTGTAGGCCAATTGAAGTCAATGAATCGAACCCAATGGACACCCAACCGCTGCACTCATTCCAGATTGGTTTAACTTTACATATAGAATCATAGAAAAGCAGAGCTGGAGTCACTCTGGTTCAGGTGCAAGGGTAGGGGAGAACACAGAGCTGGTTGGTGGATCTAGCCATATTCGAAGAGTGACCCACCACTGGTAACACCTGCAGCTTGCTTGGTGCAGGTCTTAACCATAGATTCTAGCCCAGTCCTGAACACTCATCATGCTTGTCCACCCTTGCAGCTCAGTTGTGTTTAATACCAGTCCAGCTGCACTCATTCCCAACACCTACCATTGGCAAGGGGGAATTCTTCTAGCGCAGAGCAGGTTTCTGCATCTGAAAGATTCCTAGTCTCAGCTTGTCCTCACTGATGCTATTTCTGCATTCATGACGCAGTTGTTTACTCTTATTTTTCATGTTTACCCTTTGCAAAACTTATAAGGAAGTGAGCCCCTTTTGTCAGGCAGGTTCCTCTTCTGCTTGTCATTTCTAAGAAGGGAAAATTTCCGTTTATTTTCTTTTTTTTTGGCCTTTTCCCATCACATCACATTTCTTACACAGATCTCTTCTCTACCACAATAAAGTCATGCAGGGGTGTGTAAGTCACATTCCTCGAACTCATCGGGAACTACCAACTGCCTCTCACCCATTCGAAACAACAATCCACAGCCAACTGCTGCTAACACGCATCTTCCCCAACAGCAACAAAGAGGGATGGACTAAGATCTGAACGAAATCTTAGGCTGACCAGGGTCCCAAGCACCAGAAGAGCCTCCTCTCCTCCCAAGTTTAACCACTTCCAAGCTAATCTGGAGTTGGACCAATCTAATGGGGACCAATCCCTATGGCCCTGAGAAAGAGTAGAGGAGGACCTGCCACCCACGTTTTCAAGAGGTCCCTAGGCTCCTGGGAACAAGGGCTTCAGACACCTTGTGGCCCAAAGAGTATGGCCAGGAACGAGTTGGAGGACGGGCACCTGACAGTACAATTCCCCCAGCATCCATGGGCACCAGGTTTGTATAATTTTTGGTGGGGCCCAGAACGGGTCCAAGCAGAGCTGTCCCATCCATAGGACTGACTGGGGCAACCCCCCGGGGCCCCGCGCTTTGGGGGGCCCCACACTTCAGGGGGATGCGAGGTACAGGGCAGCCTGGAGGGTTAGTGGGGGGCCTGGCACCAGCAGCAGCAAGCGACTCGGCTCCAGCCTGCTCCGCCCCACCGGCTCCCAGCGTCGCTCGGGGGACAGGAGTGGAAGCCGGAAAGAGGCAGGGCAGGGACTTGGGGGAAGGGGTGGAATGGGGGCAGGGCAGAGGGGGGCGGGCTGGGGCTGGGTCGCTCGCTGCTGCCAGCACCAGGCCCCCTGTTAACCTCCCAGGCTGTCCTGGACCCCATGTCCCCCTGAAGCAGGGGGCCCCCCAAAGCGCAGGGCCCGGGGCGGTTGCCCTGGTCCGTCCTATAGACAGGATGGCTCTGATTAACTATAAGCCTAACATTGGTAGAGCCGGGCCCATGTTCCTGAATATTGGTGGAGCACGGGCACCACGGGCACATATAACTCACCGCCTATTCAGCATCTCCAGGATTTTGGTTTGCTAGGAGCTGTGTTTAGTCTTCACTTGCTACCGAGGTATTAATCACCTCCCAGCTCACCCAGCCCTTACTTTCATGAAGGGTTAAAGCCGCAGTGACGTGTGGGCGTAGCAGCACCTCAGAGATGGCAAAGCAGCTTATCTTTATTGGCGAGTAAAACAGACCTTTGCCTTGAGTGCATTTCCCCTCCCGCTCCTCCACTTTGCTTAAAGGTTTCGGGTGAGTTTCCTGTTCTTCCTGGATCGCTTGTCCCTCGCTTGCCTCCCCATCCATCAAACCCATTCAGCACCTTTCCCCTAGACCAAATCCCGGTTGAGGCTTCCCCACCCACCTCAATAAAAGGTGAGGTGGAAATTCAGCCACTGGCCCTGCACTAAGGAGAAAGGCCAGCATGGCGGCTAGAAACCATTACCTATCACGGGGTATGGGGGGGATCCGCAGAAGCACAGAAGGGGAAGGAGAGACAGAGAGACCCTCTGATTAGCAGCTGCAGCTCTGAACAGAAGCCGGCTCACCCTCTTCTGTGGGAGCAATAAAACTGCCATTGGTGTGTTGTACAGTCTGACGCGGTTTCAGGAAGTGCGCACATATCTCCCGAAGGAAACATGTTCTTGGCAAGGCCCTTAGCCCACACAAAGGAACTTGGGGCAGATTCCACCACTGGATGCACAGTGGGCAGGAAGGTAACTAAACACTTGCCTGCAGTGTGTGTGTGTGTACAGCATCTAACACCCTGGGCCTTGGGGCAATGCTGCATTACAAATGAATACTCCTACTGCTAATATTATCCCGGGAAGCACAACTCACAACCACAGGGCTGGCAAACTAGGGTCACCAGGCTCCACAGCTGCTGACCCATTCCCCTTTAGGACCTGCTCTGACAGAAAGCCACACATCCGCCCCCTCTGCTCCCTTCCTGTCTGCCCGCACAGGCTAAACAGAGAGCGCTGCTGGCCCATGTAGTAGGGGGCCCCCCTGCACTGCTACATGGGAAGGTGCTGAAATGATTCATTAATTTCAAAACTATACACGTGACTGGTTATGTCTGGTAACTCAGCATGAGAAGACAGTGCCCAAAGCTACAGAGACACAGAGAGTCAGGAGACTGCAGATTTCTGCAGCATTAACTCAGGAACGCATCCAAATTCAATAATCGTTTGGGTGTATTTAAGCCTTTAATCCACCTTTATTTACTTGTTTTATAAGAAAACACTGCAGGGCTGTCCCGATTCACTGCTGTAGGTTGTCATGCTTTGGCATGACTATAAAACACCGGAGAATATATTTTAACAAAGGGGTTCCACGCCCCCTCTTCCAGCAGTCAACTTACAGTGAAATCTTTGGCCCTGACCTTGCAAATACTTATTCACACATTTAACATTAAGCACTTGAATGGTATTAACTCATCTGCTCATATGCCTAATTCAAGCACATGCCGTTGGTATTTTGTTAACCTCTGAGGATAGGACAAGAAGCAATGGGCCTAAATTGCAGCAAGGGCGGTTTAGGTTGGACATTAGGAAAAACTTCCTAACTGTCAGGGGGGTTAAGCACTGGAATAAATTGCCTAGGGAGGTTGTGGAATCCCCATCCTTGGAGGGTTTTAAGAACAAGCTAGACAAACACCTGTCAGGAATGGTCTAGTTATTATGTAGTCCTGGCTTGAGTGCAGGGGACTGGACTAGATGATTTCTCGAGGTCCCTTCCAGTCCTACACTTCTATGATTCCATGACCAGGGCCCTTGATTGTCCTGACCAGTTACAGAGGACTATACATTCCCAAGCACTTTCTAGTTAACCCTCAGAATGCCAGGGCATTATCCCCATTTTATAGGTGGGGAAATGGAGGCTGGGAGATAGGTGGTGACTCGCCCACGGTGACACGGTATCCCTTCGGTGTACGCTTTCCAGACCCCTGCGCTAATCACTCCTCCTCCCCAACCCCAAACAATACCAGCATGACAGTGATGCCCCCAGAGTTGTCACAGGTCTGCGTCGCCCGAGTGGCACCCCCACGGTGGAGCCCTGCACCCTTGCCACGCAAGTTCCTGGGCACCAGTGGCTGGATCCCTACAGATTGCAGCTGTTGCTTTATCCCTGTGTCGTCCCGCCACTAAAACAGGCCAACGCCCCGCTCCCGGGCCCCGCACGCTGCGGGCAGAGCGCGCCCAGCCCCATCCCGGGAGCTCCGGTGTCTCAACCCCAGCGCCCGTGCCAGGCCCGGCACCTTCCCAGCGCAGCAACCCCCCGCCCGGGCCGAGGCTCTCCGAGCAGCGGGCGCCCCGGGGCAGCTCCCCTAGCCCCACCGGCTCTGTCCCCCCGGGCACATCGGGCCACCCGCCAGCTGGCTGGACCCCTCCCTTCCCCTTTGTCCAGCTCGCGGCTGAGATGCTGCATCCCGGGGCGCTGGGCTGGGAGAGGGGAGGAAGCGTCCGCAAGATTCGTACTCACCCTCTTCCTCCTCCCGTCTGCACCGGGGCTTTACAGCGCTCGGGGGGGGGGGGATGCGGCTGGAGCTGCCCCTGCGCCCTAGTTCATCATCCCCGGCTTCCTCGCCTGCTTCTGCATCGGCTTCCTTACCCTAGGAAGGGGACGCCGATTGCATGCGAAAGGAAGGAGTGGAGATAACGAATTGACCATAGATGCAAATAGAAAGACAGCTTCAGCTCCCTCTAGAGGCTCCTTGTAGCCCAAAACTGCTCACTGAGTCTTTTCAAAGCTCCTTCCACCGTGGCTGGGTGCTGGGGCCATGCGGATTTGAGCTATGTGACATGTGACGTGAAGGGAGCTGAATCAGCCACTACCCTCCCAGCAGGAACTTTTCTGGGAAATATAGCTTTCTTCAGGGGAAAGCATCACAACAGTATCATGCATCAAGACACGAGAAGTAATTCTTCCGCTCTACTCTGCGCCGATAAGGCCTCCGCTGGAGTCTCGTGTCCAGTTCTGAGCGCCACATTTCAGGAAGGATGTGGACAAATTGGAGAAAGTCCGGAGGAGAGCGACAAAAACGATTAAAGGTCTAGAAAACGTGACCTACGAGGAAAGAGTGAAAAAATGGGGTTCGTTTGGTTTGGAGAGGAGAAGACGGAGAGGGGACATGGTAACCGTTTTCAAGTATCTAAAAGATTGTTCCAAGGAGGAGGGTAAAAAAAATTTCTCATTAACCTCTGAGGATAGGACAAGAAGCAATGGGCTTAAATTGCAGCAAGGGAGGTTTAGGTTGGACATTAGGAAAAAACTTCCTACCTGTCAGGCTGGTTAAGTACTGGAACAAATTTCCTAGGGAGGTTGTGGATTCTCTGTCATTGGAGGTTTTTAAGAGCAGGTTAGAGCAGCGGTTCTCTGAGTCAGGACCCAAAATTGGGTTGCGACGCCATTTTAATAGGGTTGACAGGGCCAGTATTAGACTTGCTGGGACCCATTGCTGAAGCTGAAACCCAAGCTCTACCCCCACCTAGAGTGGCAGGGCTGAGTCTGCAGCCCACCACCCCCAGGGTCATGTCATAACTTTGTTGTCAGAAGGGGGTCGCGGTGAAATGAAGATTGAGAACCCCTGGGTTAGACAAATATCTGTCAGGAATGGTCTAGTTATTACTTAGGTCATGTCTACACATGCGGCACGTGGGATGAAGATGCTCTATGCCGATGGGAGAGCTCTCCCATCAGCATGAAGAAACCACTTCCACGAATGGCAAATTATAGTGGCTGGAGAAGCTCTCCTACCGACATAGCACTGTGCGCATGAGCGCTTATGTCAGTGTAATTTATGTCACTCAGAGGGGTGGTTTATTCAGGGCAAACTAAAATTTCATACAGACAATGATTTGTTTATACTGCTCTATATACTATACGCTGAAATGTAAGTAGAATATTTATATTCCAAATGATTTGTTTTATAATTATATGGTAAAAATGACAAAGGCAGCGATTTTTCAGTACTAGTGTGCTGTGACCCTTTTGTATTTTTATGTCTGATTTTGTAAACAAGTAGTTTTAAAATGAGGTAAAACTTGAGAGTACGTAAGACAAATCAGACTCTCGAAAGGGATACAGCAGGCTGGAAAGGTTGAGAGCCACTGTTTTAGGTGCTAAAATAGCTAGTAGCTAAAAGCCTGTACAGTGGCTGTGACAGATAGGGCAACTTCCTGCAATAACTTTGGGAGACCATATTGTATTAAGTGTATGAGCTGTTTATGTATCATGGTGGGCCACAGCTGCCCCACCAAGTGAAAACAGGAGTGAAAATTGCCTCCTAGGAAGGCTCATATATTCTGGTTCAAACTGGGTTCTCCAGGGACCACCAGGTAAAGAAAGGACTTTTGGATAAATAGCTTGAGCTTAAACTAACCTAGGGCTTCGTTCTGGTTCCTGATCTAAAGACATACGAACTTCTAACCACAGGGAAAACCCATTTGTGGGGTTTGAAGGACTGACACCCACCACCAGGGCCCTCGGTTGGATTTGGGGCTGATCTCTGGTAGGCTTTTAGCACGCGTGTAGCTTCTTCTCTTGTTTTTAGATGCTTTCTCTGTAATGTGTCCACCTTAACAACAAATGTGTTTGCTCAGAAGGAGCTTTGTGGTAGTCTGTAACTGCAGGCAATACACTGGTCACAGCCCATGGAGGAAAAGGAATGCACAGGTACTGGCCTCTTTCGGCAGACTGGCTCGCTGGGGATATTACAGTGTAGAAGACAGGGACCTGTGCAGCCTTAAAACCCGGGGTCCGGAGGGAGTGAGACACACAGGTCTCTGCCCAAGAGAGGTAATGGCTGGGAGCCAGAAATCTTTAAGTCAATGCCCTCAAGAGGGGCCACAGAAGGGAAATACAGGGGCAGTTAGCCTGAAACGGTGACAGTGGCATGGGTGTAATCCATAAAGTCATGTGTGTGTATTTGAAAAAAACCAAGGCAAAGCTGAAAATGGCTGAGAACTTAAAGATTGGGTGGCAACAGACTGCAAACGCCAGCGATGATTGAACCTGGTGACGTTCTGTACAAAAAAAGCTCTTGGCCATGCGCTTCCCTCCCTTCACACTGACTCAGACATTCTAGGCTCCAGAATAATGTTTGGGGTTATCGTGTGTGCTGGCTCTGTGGGTGTGTTGATCGGTGTGTGAGTTGGGTTGTGCTGGGAGAGTTGTGTGGATTTGTGCAGGTGGCGAATGAGGGATGTGTGCTGCAGGGAGGGGCTATGAGCATTTGGGAGGGTGTCTGCTGGTTGTGGGGTGTTGTGGGTGATTATGTTGACTTGTGCTGGGAGATTTGGGCGGGTGGCAGCTGGGTGCACGGGTATGGCATTAGGGCCAAGTAATCCACCCTCTGTGCAGTCTCCCTCACACAACCATAGAATTGTTGCATGCAAATTAGCTGTAGAGTAAGGGTGACCGGTTGTTACCTTTGTACAATGGTCTCTAGATGTCTTGGCATGTTATAGATACATGCATTACTGTAGCTGTATGCTGCACGGGTGTAATTCATAACGTCAAAATGGCTGTGAACTTAAAAACCAGGTGGTAACGGACCATGGAAACCAGGGATGATTGAACGTGGCGATATTCTAAGGAAAAAGTTCTCAGCCATGCTTGTAGCTGCTTCCTGCGCTTTTCACTGACCCAACAGACGTTTGATGCTTCAGATTGACACACAGAGCAACATTCCTAGAATCGTCTACAGATAAAGGAAATAAATGGGGGGCAAAACTAGAGTAATAGTTTTTGGGGGAGATTTTGCCAAGAGCTCAGGTCAGATTTCCACCCGCAATAGCGGCTAGATCTTCACCCAGAAGCTCCCTTTTCTTACACTAAATTGCTAGATGTTTTTGGTTCCTAAATGAGAGCTGAGCCCTTTTGAAAATTGTAGCCATAAGGGCTGGGGGGAGAATAACTTAATAAAATCTAGCAACAACAACAAAAATCAAAAACACCAACTCTAGCCCAAGCAGCAATTTCACCCCAAAAGGGAGCAGTCCAAGAAAGTCCATGGAATCTACTAGGGATTTCGCTATTAATTTTACACGGACAGTGCTCGGATGTGGAGGAGCAGCAGTATGAACAGTGACAAATAATAATAACTGATTCCTGTACATTATTATTGTTTATTACAGTTGCACCAAGGAACCCCAGTTGTGGCCCAGGACCCCATTGTGCTAGGTGCTGTACAAACACTGAACAAAAAGATGGTCCCTGCCCTTACAATCTAAGTGATATAATAGTCGTTACCGATAGATTAGCTGCATCCCTCCCCTCCCCCATGGAACTCTAGAACTCCTGGGAACTGTTGCCGGGGAGGGAGGATGTTTGAATTTGAATCCTTGGTTCTAAACTGTTGAGAAACCTCAGCCCAGCTGCCTTTGTGATCCCACCAGATCCCCTCACCCCGGGGCTGAGAGAAATGCATCCTCTGACCATTCCCCCTGTTTCCAGCAGGCCCTCAGTGATCCAGCTCTTCAGGAATCTCTTTGGGCTCGGGCAGAGCGCGCAGGAGGGCCCAGAAACCAGAGCAGACGCACGAGAGCAGGGTAACGTCGGGGACCTAGAAGAAAACAGCTCCCTGGTGCCTGCTGGGGCTGAGTCTGAGACCAGCCAGCCAGCAGGCAAAGAGCTAACGGGCGACCACCCGACTGATGAGCCCCGTGGAGATGCAACAGGCGACCGCATGGGGGAGATCCTTGGAGAGCTGAAGGATATCAGTCTTGGGGGCACCCCTTCCAGCCGTGGCAGGAGATCCCCTCCTATGCTGGACCCCAGTGGCATGGAGATGGGAGACTCCGGTGACTGGGCCTTGTCAGACCTCTCTGAGAGCGGTAGCTGCATTGACGCCAGCGTGGATGTGGAGGAGAAGCAGAACATGGGAAGTGGAGCAACAGGGGAGCCGTGCGGGCAATGCTCTGAGACAGGAGATGCAGGAGGAGCATCTGCTGAGAGATGGCCCTTGGGGAGGTAAGGCATTGATGGCTGATGGGAGGCAGAGAGTAGGGATGGGGTGGCAAATCACACAGGAGTGAATGACTCTGAAGCACTATGGCCAAAGTGTAACTCCAGTGGCGTGAGTGGACTGAATCCAACCACTTCTGTTTGTGATTAGTCATAAGAATATTCAAGGTCAGGTGGGGGCAACTTTGCCACATCTACTTCCTGAGCACTAGTGCCGTGTAATAGCATTGCATTAATATGTTGTTGATTGAACTTTTCAGTGAGTTCACTTTCTATTTCCTGGTTTCAAAGGTTTGAGTGCAGCTGACCTTGACATGCTGGAAGGGCACAAGGCAGCTCCAAGCAATCTTATTTCTGCATGAACAAGTTTGTTGTCTGTGGCTCAGTCTAGCTAATGGCAGATCTGAGTTTTAGGCCTGAATTTTTTTCCTCTTAAAACGGCCCATCGCTGCATTAACACTGGTGCTGCCCTGCTAGTGGGCACTGGCTGCTGGTGTTTGACCACTCTGCTGTCCAGATCTGCTCTGAACAGCTATGCTAGCATCTCCACTGTTACTATCACCGTAGCAAGGGGGAGAGATGTTAAGATAAATACCAGTCTAGACACAGCCTTATAGAAGACATACTCATTGCTCAGTTACAATCCTACGTTTCTCTTGTGTGGCTGTCCTTAAGTGCCTGGAAACAAGGAGGAGAACTCGTATCAACTGATCAGCCAGGTCTTCATGGGCCATCAGAACCTGCTCCTTGGTCCACAGAAGAGTTGTGAGAGATTCTACTCTAGGCCTATGAGCTTCCCAGTAATTCCACCCCGGGGGGAAGCTACGATTCAAACAACAAGCGTCTCCTCTCGCTAGTAACATGATACATCTGCAAATGGGTGTGGCTGGAGTGTGTGTCAGAGAGAGGGGGGAAAAGAGAGAGGTATCCAGGACACCAGGAAATGGATTTGAAAGTGTTAAGTATGAAGGGGGGAGAGGTACTAAGACCACTGGGAGATGGTGTTGACAACTGAAGGTAATTGAGATCATCAGGTCTTTGAGATCCCATCTCTTCTGTATCGACTGTGAAGGGGGATCCACGTACAATGCAATGCTCTGTTGACATGGTGAAGGCCCGGTTTGGTCGTGCAGTGCAATGGGACTGAACTGTGCTGGAGCTCAGCAGCGTCCAAGGCCGTTGCATGATTCAGGAACTTGGTGCTAATGCTGCTTGGTCTTATCTTCATGGCAAGACTGAGCTGTCTTTTAATCGACTCAGAGCAGTTCTGTATTGTAACAGGGATCCCACACACCCTGGCCTGATTCTCCATTGCCCTGGCTTTGCAGAGGCACGTACGCCAGTGCAAAGAGGGTGGCAGATGCTCCCAGATCACAATGGCAGTGTTTTATACCCACTGTGAACTGGTGTAAATGGTGGGGTGCGGGACTGTGGAGAATAAGGGTCCCTGATTGTCACGATGCAGAGGGGACCTTAGAGCCGAAGTGGAAAAATGTCACCCTGCAAAAAGCAGCCTGCACAACAACTGAGAACTAAGACCAGGTCTCCACTAGAAAAAGTGTATCTGGTGTATCTACACTGACGAACGCTCCTAGTGTAGATGCAGTTCATACTAGCAAAGGATTAGGGCTTTTGCCAGTATAGAAAAGACACCAAAAAATCACAAACCCTACCCACCATTTCCCCTCCTATGCTGGACCCCAGTGGCTTGGAGATGGGAGATTCCAGTGGTTTTGTCAACACTGCTGTGAGCCAATGTGAACCAGCAAATGTTTCTAATGTTGACCTGGCCGAACTCATCAGTGAAACTGTAAAACCATCAGAAATGGACTGCTTTCTTTGTTTTCTTATTGTTGCAAGGAATGAATTATCTCCCAGTGACCAGTGGAGTTGCTTCCTTTTAGACCATTTGCTCTAACAATACCTACAGCAAAAGTAAATATTTTTAGCTTCCTTATTTAACCAGTATCCCTTTTTGGAGCAATTTGCCCACATTTCTACTGACCTATCTTTTCCTTCCATCTTGTTGTAAGAGTTCAAAGTGGAGAGCCTTCAAATCAATGACAGGGGTGGGGAGGGGGGATTCCATATACATAAGTCATCTTGCTATGACTGAATGTTTCACGAGCGCCCACCATTTCTCTGATTGCTCCCTTCTTGCACAGCATCTCAGCTCGATTGGTCTTCCGCCTCCCCCGCAGAACTCTGGAACTCCTAGGCAGTTCTGAATTCTGGAGGCGGCCATATTTCAATTTGAATCCCTGGTTCTAAACTGTTGAGAAACCTCAGCCCAGCTGTCAGGATGAGCTCACCAGATCCCCTCCTGCAAAGGTTGAGAGAGATGAATCCTCTGACTGTTCCCCTTGTTTCCAGCAGGCCCTCGGTGCTCCAGCTTGTTAGGAACCTCTTTGGGCTCAGGCAGAGTGTGCAGGAGGGCCCAGAAGCCAGAGCAGATGCACAAGAGAGCGGGGACGTCAGGGACCTAGAAGAAAACAGCTCCCTGTTTCCTGCTGGTGCTGAGTCTGAGACCAGCGAGCCAGCGGCCAAAGAGCTAACGGGCGACCACCCAACCGATGAGCCCCATGGAGATGCAACAGGCGACCGCATGGAGGAGATCCTTGGAGAACTGAAGAATATCAGTCTTGGGGGAGTCCCTTCCAGCCATGGCAGGAGATCCCCTCCTATGCTGGACCCCAGTGGCATGGAGATGGGAGACTCTGGTGGCTTTGTCAACACTGCTGTGGGCAAAGATAAAACAGCCCAGGATCTATGCAGCAGAATCTCTGGCAGGGAGGCAGAGAGGGTGGGAGAAGCTTCTGGTGACACAGGAACATGGGGAAAGTGAGTTTGGTTGTTAGCAACACAAGGCCGGATCCTGGCCTCACTGAGATAGGTGGCCAAACTCCTAGTCCCCCTCCCTCACAGATCTGGGGGACCATTAAATGGGACAAGCATTCAGCCTTTAGATAGTGGAAAGGGTTGTGGGTTGCCTCAGAGTAAATATGAATTTGTTGTGGGCCCATATTGACAACTGGAAGCCTGTCAGATCCTGGGCAATGGTCTCTTTATATGGGGCCACTAGTTCGGGCTTTACAGAAGATCACTAAGCAAGCAGCATCTTATTTGCTTTTCACCCATTGCAATAGGCTGTCAGCATCAGCACAGACTAGCTGGGCTATAGAAATATCCTGGGATGTACAGTAACCGGGCTCCACTCCTGACATTGTAAGTGAAAGGCCCAGTTCTGCTTCCAGCTATGCCAGTGTAAATGTGGAGTAACTCCAGTGTAAATGTGGAGTAACTCCATTGTAAATCTGGACTAACACCACTGACGTTCATGGAGTTGCTTTGCACTTAGGTGTACATGAGCGATCAGCGTTGTGGCCCCTTCCAGTCCTTGGCCTCTTTAGGTCAAGTCCTTCAACAAGTGGGACAATGAGTGACGGTTGTGCTGGTGTTTTAAATGTGATCCACCTCTTTGCTTTGAACTGGGCGAAGACCTTGTTCTCGTGGTTGGAGTGAGTGAGCATGTGGTCACTTGAGTGCCATCCTGTTCATGAGCACCCAACCATGCGTAACTGTGTTCTGGGTTCAGGGCTGGAATCTCCCAGGTTCTGCCTGCTGACAACGAAGGAATCACACTGACTGCAGGACCCCTGGCAATGACCCCCAAGGACTTCCATGCCAAGGAGGAGAGAGAGTGCCTCCTGAAAGGTGAGGAATGATAGAGGGGCTGCAGGGAAAGGGAATCCCTCATGATCCATTTGGGAATTACATCTCTTGAGAATTGTCAGGTATTCTGGTAGGTAGACGAGGTTTCCAGATACCTCTGTCTATTCCTTCACATCCATGCTGATCCCTGAATCTTGAGAACTCAGTTACTGTAGGCACTCTGTGCTGTATTGGGAAAGTCTCTGGGCTCAGTCCAATGGACATGGAAGCAGGTCTCAGCACTGGGGAAGAGAAGCCACTTTGGATGGGTCAGAAACAGAGTAGAAGCCCTTTCTATAGCCATGAAGAGTCCAGCTGAGAAATGACACTTTGATCCGAGTGCATTTATGATCCTTATCACCACAGTATGTGGCCACCCTTTATAACTCATTTTAGTTAATTTTATATGATCTCATCTGTTTAAATACGAGGGGCTGAGCTCTCCACTGGCCTAACACCATTCACTCCACTGGAGATATGCCAGCAAAGGAGTTGGCCCTTGATCAAATACTGTATCTGGGACATGTATTACCCTTCCATATGGGACAGCGTAAGGATGTACGATGAGACCACTCAGAGGATTCACTGCTTTATTTGTGGGGTTTTGTAAACAGAGGATCTAAATGGAGGATCTCCGAAGGCAGAGCTGTCTCCATGGAACAAACTCGTCAACATGTACAAGCAGCGACGGAAGCTTCCTGTTCCTAAGGTTGGTTATATACTACAGAGCAGTGGGCTAAACTAGCGGTGAGGTACTTTCACTTTTACTTTACAAGCAGGGAGAAGCGCTCACCCGTTTGGAAAAGGGACTGTTAAAAGGACAGCCTGGGGTTCTCCTTTATTCTCGCCTGCTGATCCCAGATATCGTTTGCTCTGCTTCCAAATTCAGATCAGTGATTTTTACATTATATTTTTGCAACTGCTAATGCTGTATACCCAACCGGGATCAGAAAATCCTGCTGGGTCCTCTCTGCCTCTTTCATCCTTGCCCCTAACTGAGATTCTGCTGTCAGGACCTAGCAATATTTCTAGATTGTGCCCCTGAAGTTCCTGCTAGAGATGACCTAAAGCCTCTGCTGGGTTATGTAACTGCAAGATGCGTGGTCCTGACAACACAGCTGGCCTCCCCGATTGCAAGAGGGCGGTGCCTTGGAGGCACTTAGAGCTGTGAAGGATGAAAAAATTAATGCTAAAACTGAAGTAGTGCAGTGTAATGGTTAGAGCAGGGAACTGGTAATCAGGGTTTTTGAGGTTCTATTCCCAGATATGCTAGTGACCATAGTCATTTAACTTCTCGAGGCATCTGTAAGAAAAGGATATATACCACCTGACAGAGGTGTACTGTGAGGTTTAATTAGCATATCAAGTCCTTTGGATGAGAGGAGGTATGTCTGCAAAGTTATTTTGCCTTCATTGACAATTCCATTGAAATGACACCTGCATTTTCCTAATTAACATTCCAAACAGTGCAAGAGGAGACACAACGACTCAATCTGATCCTTCTCTGAGGCCTTCAGTTCAAAGGGTGGCCAAATTCATAGCACTGGGCGCTGTACAGTTCCCACCATCTGGCATTACCTCCGTTAAATGTCATTGCAAGGCAGTTTGAGTGACGCCAAAAGGGGTTCTGAGATGGAGGCGAGTGGTTCGGACTCACCCAGATAGACTATAAATGGGTGCAACTGAGCCCCATTTCTCTACTGCAAGGAGTGCTACATTTGACCCTCCAGGCCCCACCCTTTCCAAGACACTCAAATATGCACTTCTCTGTCTGGCTAGATTTCTAGGTGCTATCTGTCTTCAGCACTTATATGGCCCCTCTATCATAGTATCTGGGCACCTGTAAGGCAGAACAATGCTACTACTCCCTTTTTATAGGTGGGGGAAACTGAGGCACAGAGAGACTAAGTGACTTGGCCAAGGTCATAGAGGTAGTGGACTTAAACCCAGGTCTCCTCAGTCCTAGGCCAGTCCTCTAGACACTGGGCCATCCTTTCTTTGCTGCTGCCTTCCTCAATACTGTCTGCAGTACAATATGTTTGTTCAGCCAAGAGACATTGTCACTTTAAAGCTGACACAGGAACTGGTAGAGCTTCAGGAAGTGAATTCAGGGTAGCTGAGGAGTTAGCAATTCAATAAAGCAGTTGTGTTTGAGTGTTTCTCTGCTTGGGTGCGGAAATGTCATAGCATTGGGGGGAGGGATAGCTCAGTGGTTTGAGCATTGGCCTGTTAAACCCAGGGTTGTGAGTTCAATCCTTGAGGGGGGGGGAATCTGGGGCAAAATCAGTACTTGGTCCTGCTAGTGAAGGCAGGGGGCTGGACTTGATGACCTTTCAAGGTCCCTTCCAGTTCTAGGAGATAGGATATCTTCATTATATTTATTTGGGTACAAGACAATGAAGAAGTCAGGCCCCATCTCTGCTGCAATGTGGGTTGTATTAAGACACCATCTACAAGAAATGATCTGTTGGCCAGTGCCACACAGCATGGACAGGGGCAAGGTTTTTAAAATGGTGCAGGGAAACTGTCATAGATCTAAGGATTTTTGATAGGTTTCCCCTGCCCACGTCAGCCAGCAGAACCACCTTACGGGATCCGAAGCTGTTTGACAAACTGGGGGAGGTAGGAATTTCCAGTGGTGAGAACAGGGGACTGGGAGTCAGAAGATTTGGCTCCTGTTCTGAGCTCTGGCACTGCCACTGTGTGTGATCCTGAGCAAGTCGTTTTCCTCCCGTCCGTGCCTCAGTTTCCCCATATGTAACAGGGATAATAACATATTCTACAAGATAAAATCTATTGAGATCCTTTGATAGAAATCTCGGTATAGAAAGACAATGTGTTTCAAGGTCAGCTCCTGAAAATAGTTTCCCGACTTGATCCAAACTGCAGTGTAGAAAGTGTCTTGATATAAGTCCCTTTTCTCTATTCTCATCTGTCCTCAACCTCCATTTTCCTGCATTTCCACCTCCAGGAAAACCCAGTGCAGCTAGAAATGGAAGAGGGATCCACTCTGAATCTAACTGTTTATGAATTTGCAACACCTGAGCCTCATCTCATCTCTTCAAAATCTTCCAGTACTGCCCTGATCTATAGGTGAGATCCACGACGCTCTTCAACAAAGAAAGCAAGCATAAACACAACCCCAATCAGACACGGTCCAAATTCTGTCTAGTTTCACAAAGTCGAACTGTATTTAAGATTTTTTTCAGGACAAGCGATGCAGTTACCAGTGCAGTTGAGAGAATGTACTGAACTGGAAGCCCAAGCATGGTTATACTTTCTCTGACCACTGGGTGGCACCGTCTGACTTTAAAAAAAAACCCAGAGATGGGCTAGAAATGTCTTTAGTACAGATGAGCGGTGTAAGTTTGTACAGGGTCCGTTTGAGAGGGGGAAATTGATCTCCAACTCACATGAGCCAAATAATCTATTTCCCAAAATAGACTGAATAAATATTTCCCCATGTACATTAGTGAATAAGCTATCCTGGTGTTCAAAAACACTGAGTACAAGAGAGTATAATATAAAACATTGTGATGCTGGCCTGGCTAGCTGGCTGCTTGGAATTTGTTGGCAACAACAGGGCTAAAGGGAAATCAAACAAACTGAGAGCAGCAGGGATCCTGACACACTCTTGAGCAGTTCCCATTCCATCCAATAGAGGGCAGCAGTTTACACACACACTCACCCACACACACTTGTCTCTATGGCATGAGTGGCCAACCTGTGGTTCTGGAACCACATGCGGCTCTTTAGAGGTTAATATGCAGCTCCTTGTATAGGCCCCAACTCTGGGGCTGGAGCTACAGGCGCCAACTTTCCAATGTGCCCGGGGGGGGGGGGTGCTCAGTGCTCAACCCCTGGCTCTGCCACAGGCCCTGCCCCCACTCCACTCCACCCCTTCCCAGCCCCTCCGCTGAGCCTGCCGTGCCCTCACTCCTCCCCCTCTCCCCCAGAGCCTCCTGCACACCACAAAACAGCTGATCGGGAGGGAGGGGGAGGCGCTGATCAGCGGGGCTGACGGTGCGTGGGAGGCTCTGGGAGCAGGATGGGGGAGCGGATGGGGGGTTGCTGATGTATTACTGTGGCTCTTTGGCAATGTACATTGGTAAATTCTGGCTCCTTCTCAGGCTCAGGTTGGCCATCCCTGAACTAGAGCAACCTAGAGGTAAATATGTGAAAATTTCTCCGCAGCTTCCTGTATCATTCTGTGCTATAATAAAAACACTGATCTCATACAGTGGGCAGCACATTAACCATGTACTTGTATTTTGGGGCTGGACATGCCTTTGTTCTGTGTCTGTACAGCACCTGGCGCAGTGGGGTCCTGGTTCGTGACTGGGGCTCTAGGTGCTACCACCGTACAAATAATAAATAAAAATAATTAAGATGTTATTGCAAAAAAGCCAGTGCTTTACCGGGCTGCACATACATAATTCCCCTTGAGCATCAGCCTTGGTCAGACCATAGGTATTTCTGTCCTGTGCAGGGTGCTTCTTGATAAGGATTCATTTCAGACCATGGGTGAGGCAGAACAGACTCTAGCTCACTTTCCTATAACTGCAACTGCAGGAGGAAAGGACGGTTTGTGTCAGTCAAGTCACATGCTCTGACTTGATGATGCACAGGGAGTTGATACAGTTAGTAAGAAGGTGCCATTTTTTAAAGTCACTGATGACAAGTGCTTTAAGAGGAGTCCGGGTGTACTTCATTCCCAGATCTCTGGTTCTGAAATGAACTGGTCGGTCTCAGACATCCAAAATGTGTAAACCCATGACCTGGTTTAAATGCACATCCTGGCATTCTAAGCAGAGAGGCCAAGGAATAAGTGGGCCAGGGAGAGCGAAATCCCCTTTTGTCCATGGTGGGAATCTCAAAGCTGAAGTTTCAGTGGTAGCCGTGTTAATCTGTATCAACAAAAAAAACGAGGAGTCCTTGTGGCACCTTAGAGACTAACAAATTTATTTGAGCATAAGCTTTCGTGGGCTAGAACCCACTTCATCAGATGTATGACGTAAAAGATACAGGAGCAGGTATAAATACATGAAAGGATGTGGGTTGCTTTACTAAGTGTTAAGTCAGTCTAATGAGATAAATCAATTAACAGCAGGATACCAAGGGAGGAGAAATAACTTCTGAAGTGGTAAGAGAGTGGCCTATTATAATTGCTGTGCTGTATCTAGGCTCTGGATGAAGAGAGGAAATCAGTCTCCAGGCCCAGCACTTTTCGCTTGCACTAAATTTGCCAAATCAATTAAAAACACAACAGATCCAGGCCTCCCTCCTATAATAGCTGCAGTACGGTGTGCTACATTAGTCAAATGATCTCTTTGCCCATGTCCAAAGAATCCATCCGCAGCCAGGCTGTGCTTTTCAGGCATTTGGAGAACATCACTGTTACCTGGTTAGAACAAAAGAATTTATAAATATGCTTTGTGATATTCTGTTGTACAAACAAGGGAACAAAGCGGGGGTGTCTGCTGCCACGTGCATCTATTGTGTGGCAGCTAAAGCCATGTATGTTCCAAGTGTCCAAGTCCTGTAGAAGTTCTTTGTACAGCCACACAACTGGGGATGGAGAAAGCCTGCTGGATCATTTATCCATCTCCTTTCCTCTCACCTCCCAATGCAAAATTATTTGCTATAGTCCATTCCCCGGGGCTTTTGGCTCTCTGTTTTGAAATGTCCCAAATATGGGTCTCCCACCCCTTCCTTTGGGGGATGTATCCAACATCTAATGGAGCTTTCTTTAAATCAAGCTAAAGCAAGAACTGCTCCGTCTTTGTGGGCTGAGAAGGAGGAAGTATGGGAACCATGTAAAACTGCTGCCTAGACTCCTGCAGACACACAAACAGAATTCTAGGCTCCTCAGTAATTTGGTTTCAGAGTAGTAGCCGTGTTAGTCTGTATCCACAAAAAGAACAGGAGTACTTGTGGCACCTTAGAGACTAACAAATTTATTGTAGCATAAGCTTTCGTGGGCTACAGTTCACTTCATCGGATGCATGTAGTGGAAAATACAGAAGGAAGATATATATATACACAGGGAACATGAGGAGAGCAATCAATTAAGGTGAGCTGTTGTCAGCAGGAGAGAAAAATAACTAGTGGTAATGAAAATGGCCCATTTCCAGCACTTGACAAGAAGATATAAGGAACTGTAAGGTGGGCGGGGGGGGGGGGGGGAAGGGTAATAAGCATGGGGAAATAGTTTTACTTTGTGTATTGGCCCATCAGTAATTTGGGAATCTCTTTACTGGGCTAATGACCCATTAGCTCCTGAAGGCCCTTGCTGATGCAGAGGAGGTAGTTAGTGCCTTCAATTGCTCTCAGGCTGTGGGACAATCTGACCTTACTGTTTAATAGGTGTATTGTCCGTTAAGTGTTGTTTTATCTATGACCATTATCAGAGAGCTGGAGCATGCCCAGACACTGACTAGGGAGCTTGTTTCGGGGTCTGCTAGCTGGCAGCAAGATTATAAAGTCTGAAGGTGTAGAATGGGTATTGGAAATTACCCACTTTTCAATGGAGGAGAAACATACCCATACACAGACAATGGGCCCAGTTCTGTTCTGAGTTACAGCGGTGCACATCCAGAGTAACTCGCTGGATTGCAGTGGAGAGATTCTGGCTCTCACTGCTCAAGATCAGAATTTGGCTCTGTGCCTCTTCTGTTCAGCACGTTCAATAGCTGTCATGTTTATTGCCGGAGGCAGCATGTTCTAATGACTGGGAAAGGGGATAGAGTCAGGAATCCTGGGTTCTAATCCCAACTCTGCTACTGAGTCACTTTCTTTTAACCTCGTCTGCAAACGGGGGATAATATTTAGTTTGCAGAGGATTTGTGAGACTTCATCCACTAAGTGTTTGGACGATGCTAGATAAGTGCAAAGCATTATTCCTATTTTCTTTGGAACGCATGGGGTAAATTCCAGTGATTGTCTCTCCTGATGCACTTATTTCTCCAATCCAGGTTTCCTGATGACGGAGCTGGGGAAGCTGTTGGCCACTTTGGGAGAGCCCAGGTAGACCTGAGGACAAATGGACTGGGAGCTCCTGAAGCAGACTGAGGTCAGTCAGAAACAGAAGGGCATTCTGGACTGGGTCACTGAGTTACAGCCTCCAGGAGCGCTGTGAGATTGTGCGCTGGTGCCCTACACATTCCCTTTTCTCACAGGGCTGCTGTTTGTCAATCCAAGTTACACTCTGGTGGTAAACGGCTCTTCTGTACGTGGCGTTTTGAGCGTTCAAAATGCCAGCCCCACGCCTAGATCTCATAGGCTGGGTCTACACTGCACATTGCTGGCAGCGTGGTGTAAGTTATGTGTGGCTTCACGCCACAGTGAAAAGCAGGCTGCGTCCACACTGTGGGGTGTCACTATGCATCAGTGAAAGGCTCTGGCAGAGGCGAGACAGTGGGAAAAGGCTCCTTTCCCCTCCGCCTCCCCCCTGCCAGAGCCTTTCCCCACTGCGGGAGCCTTTTCCTGCAGTCGGGGGAGACTCCGGCAGCAGAGAGGCCGTGGGACGCTATGCTGCTAAATAAAGCAGTGTAGATGGGGGAGGCGCTGCTTGGCTTCTAGAGGGCCGCGTAGGGTACATACTGTAAAGTTCAGGCATGTCTTTACTCACCTAAGCCATGCTGTTGAGAGCCATGTTGGGGAGCTGCTGAGGTGTATGCCCTACACACTGCCATAAGGAGTGTGAAGGATAGACGCACCCATAGAGTTTAGGGGCGGAAGAGACCATTAGATCATCTAGTCTGACCTCTTCAGGCCATTGTATTGCACCGGTTACCCCAGGAAAGCCCCAAAATGTGGGTTAAACTAAAGCATTTCAGTCCTCAGCAGACTACGTTGTTGCATGTGACAGGCAGAGGAGAGGAGAGAGCGAACTGCTACCAGTGGAATGGTGGGGGATTGATTAGGTGGGATATGCCCAGATGGCATATGCTCTTCTGGTTACATCAGCAGACGAGGAGGCAGGACTCCTGGGTTCTATTCCTGCCTCTGCTGCTGTTGACTGTGTGACCAAGACTGAGTTGCGATGGCCAAGGCTTTCAAAAAAGGGGACCTCAAGTTAGGCTCTAAGCGTATACTTAGGCACCCAAGTAAATGAGCTGATTTTCAATAGTGCTGAACGCCCAGAAGCTCCCACTGAAGTCCATAGGAGCTCAGCACTTTGAAAATCAGGCCACTTATTTAGGTGACTAAATGTTGGAGTCAGGAGCTTGAGTTTAGTCCTCCATTTATTAAAATCTTGGCCTCGACCACCTGTGCCTCAGTTTCCCCATCTCTCCAATGGAATATATAACAGTTGTTCTTCTCGGGCGTGTTGCTGGAGTTAGTGCAGTGTTTATAAAACGCCTAGAGATCCTGGGAGGAAGTTGAGTGTGCTATAAAATGATTGGTGAAGGAAAGCACCAGTCCCCAGGAGGAGGAAGTGCAGTGAATTTTCAAACCTCAGTCTAAAAACGGCACCGTGCTTCCGGTTCAATATCACTCCCATAGCCCGAGTTCAGCGCTGGTGCGAGACCGGAGCAGGTAGGGATCAGCAAGCTCCCTTACAAAGCGAGGACGGCTGGGAGCAGGGACAAAGCTTCTTCCTCCCTACCCCGCGTGGGAAATGCCCATCTGGAATGCAGCAAAGCATAGCGCAGCACTCCGCGAAGCAGCTGGGCTCCTGTGCCCACTGCCCGGCCCTGTGCGGGTGGGTGGGTGTGGAATTCTTTGGAGGATTTTGTTTCTCGCTCGATCAAAGTGCAATTGTTTGTCTTTTCTCTGGTAGCTGCACTGGGGGGGAGGGGAAGTGCCCAATTATCATTTTAAAAACCTAGTGCGGAGGCGGCTGCTTTGCCTTGTCTCATCCAGAACGTGGCATTTAGGTTTTTTTCCCCGCACACGAGCCTTGGCGCGGCTGGCTCGCTGTGTGATGCGCAGGCAGTGGCAGTTTGCATAAGAGCTTGTGATGGTACCTGGGGACTTACTGCTAAGGACGATTATAGCTCCATCTGCCCCTCCCCTGCCTCAGCCAATCAATGCTCTTCCTCTCCCCCTCCAAACTGTGATCCAGGAGTGCGGGTGGGATCCTGACACTGTGCGCAGCTGCAGTGCCTGTCCTCTGAGGCTCTCGGAGGGCTCTGCACGCAGTAATTAAGCCAGTGAGGTGGATAGGTGTGATCCCCATTTGCAGATGGTAAACCGAGGCACTGAGGTTAAGGGCTGGATTTCCAGGGGCCCAGAAGCCAGCGGGGACCCGCCAGTGTTGGCATCTCTGAAAATGAGGCCAAGTAGCGACTATGGCAACAAACAGAGTCAGTGGGACTAGAACCCAGAGCCCTTATGCGCCTGTTCTCACCGTCAAAGGCAGAGCCGGGGGCAAGCGCAGGAGGGGACGAGCGTGAGCACCAGACCAACCAGAGGGAGAGGAACCCTTGGGCCTTGTCAATGCTAGTAACTGTCCAGCCCATTGTTCAGCACTGGTGCTAGCAATGGGACAAGCCAGTGAAGTCCAGTGCTGGGAATGCCTGAGCCCAGTCTACCCTGCCACTAATGCCCCTGCTCGTAACAGCTTCTGAAGCGAAATGGCAACAAATGGAGAGGGAAGTGAAGAGCCACGGGGAAGGGGAGTGACTCTTCAGCTGGGGGCTGGAGCAAGCTGGAGGAAGTGAGGTTCAGGGGAGCTGGTCCACACGGCTGGACATGCAGAGGAGAAAGCTCTTGCACCTGTAATGGCACGATTGTGGGACGGGAGTATGGAGGCCATTGGCGAGTGAGCAGAAGGGGAAGGGGAGAGACTACAGATTCATAGACTTCCAGGCCAGAAGGGACTAGTATGACCATCTCGGCTGACCTCCTGCATACCAGAGAACCTACTCCAGTAGTGACTGACCATCCCTCTTCCATACACATGAGACTGGCCCTCGGAGAAGGAGTCACTTCTCAGTTCCCTTGTGTGCCAAGAGCTGGTGGGATTGGGCAGCAGGCTTAGCTATTGGTCAGACAGCTCTGCATTCGCCAGAGTGATTCGGTAACACACTTTCTCTCTGCCCTGGCCAGAGCCTGCACCTAGAAGAGATGGGACAGTGGCCCCAAGACCAAACTTATGTTTTGATCACGATGAGTCTGCAAGTCCCCTTCATCTAGCAGATGAAGAAAGAAGATTGAAACCTGTTCTTTGGTCCCCACTAGGCTGGTGTCTGGGACAAGGTCTGTTAGCTGCCAGCTTGTTCCTGTTTCCTCTTTCAGTGTCTACGTCTTCCCCCCTTTGAATGTTTATCCTCTTGCCTTCTCCTCTCCCTGCCACCTGAGGGATGACCCCATCTGTACTAGGCTGGCATCCACTGTATTTTTAGAGTAAGTGTTTTACGTTGATTGATTGTTCTCAGTTCCCCCTAAACTCTCAGACTCCTCCCCACTTATTAAATGAAGTTCTGTGTTGAATTAATTTCCTCTGTGTGTGTTGGGGTTTTTTTTTTTTTTGCTGGTTCTTTGTATACTCCATGTTCAAAAAATCATTTAGAAAATTGCAGGGAGCATAAAGATGGACAAATCTCTCCTGCCTTCCCCACTCATGGCCAAGTTTAGAGAGGAGAAAGATCTATTGTTAGGTTATCAGGTCCACTTCCACACCAAAGCAGGATTGACTAGGGATGCAGAGTATCTTCCATTCACTTTGAGAGAGGGAAAGACAGAGAACCCCTCTGTTTGCTTTGTGGGGGTCTCCCCCAATTGCAGAGTGAGAAATGAGATCTCCTCTTCCCTGGCTCTGTCACTCACTGGAGAGAGAGGTATCCCACCTCCTCCATTTGCTGATGGGTAGCCTAGGTATCAGAGGATGACAGAAACCCATCCCTCTTGTTATGAGGACCCCTGCTCTGTGCTGGTGCGGAGTCACACCATCAGCAGTGTGCCACCATTGCCAGTTAGACACCCTTACGCACAGGCCACTGCGACTAATGGTGTCAACAAACCCCAAGCCTGGGAGGTGGCAGCTGACCTCGCTTCATCCTGCACTTCCACCCCATGTTTTAGCAGCGCTGAGCGCTTCAACCAGTGACCTCGGGCAAGTGTTCTCCAAACTCTGCCTTGGCCTCAGACTCCTAATTGGACCAATCCCTGGCTCTTCCGGACAGGCTGCATGAGCTGAGCTGCAGCAGCTGTTGGCAGCCCAAGGCCCGTGCTAATCTGGGAATTCTATGACAGGAAGCACACGCCCAGCCAACCTGCCAGAAGACAAAGCCAGCAGTGTACACATCAGTTCCCAGGGGTGTTCCTGTGCAGAGCTGCGGCTATTTTTGAACGTTTCCCAGCCCTAGTGCCATGCTGGTTTATTTCCAGGGGCTCCATGGAGGCTAGGGTACGAGGCAATCATGCACCTGCTTTTGCCACGTAGCTATGGATGCAGGACTGTTGTGCTCCGGCACGGCCAAGGCACCCAGATGGCTCTCCATTTCTATTAACCCCTGTCCCATATATTCTATGATGTTGCCGAATTTCCCATGGACACCCTCCCTCACCGCAGAATCATGCTCCACCATCTAAACTTTCAGTGGTTTCAAAATATCTTACCTAGTTGTTAGGGCCACAAGGAACCTTCTGAACGTGCATGTCATTCCTGAACCTGGCGACAGCCTGAAACAATAGCTTTGAGAGGTGTGAACTATCCCCGTTCACCTCCAGGGAGCGTTTACTCCGAAACCAGGGACAGCAGTTTAAATGGCAACCTGGTTCATTATTTCACTGCCGATCATTTCCGCAGAACTATCCAGCCATGTTCCCAGCCTGCCTTCCGGGGTGCCAAAAGCCCCAGGTAACGTCTGCCCACCTGTCAGAACCTCCAGCCAATGCTTCCAGAGCAGTTACGCGCCATCAATGCAACAATCCGCAGCGCATGGAAAACTAGCGATTGAAGGATAGAGACAAGAAATTGAATTTGACAGAAACATAAGTCACTTCTACCCTGCTTGTATTTTGGGTCAGTGAACACCCCCAGTTTGTAATTGACCTGGACTTCCAGCGTGCTGCACCAGAGTGCTAGAGAATCCAGGTGCAGAATGCTGCAGTGACCACAGGCCCTTAACCCTAAGGTAACCTTTAGGGAGCGACGCTGTGTGCTCTCACAGTGCTTTTTCCAGGATACAGCTGGGTTTAAGGCCTGACCTAACTTTATCTCCAAGGAATCCACCTCCCACGTTGTGAAACCATTTTGGCCAGCCATTTGGTTGGAGGCAGAAGTGTAACATCCTCCAAGATCTGCACTGACCCTTCTGTCTTGGAGAGGCACCTCGCTGGTCCCAATAGATCTCTGTGCAGAGAAGGATAGGGCTGGGATTTATTGCTGCAGCAATAGCTCCCTTGCTGTCAAGCGGTAAATGCAGTGGTAATTAAATGGGAGACTAAGGTGATCGGCTAGGACTGACGGCAAAGGGAAATGGGATGGCTTCATGGAATCCATCTGGAGGAAACTCAGATGTGTACCTTGTATGACTGTGACTTCTAACTCAGGCTTATGCAATAGAGCACGCCGTTAGGAGCAATGCAGGGCTGGGAAGTGAAGCCGAGTGGTGCTTACCTAAAGGCCCTGTCCTGATCTTTACTTATGCAGCAGTAAATCTAGAGTAGCTCCAATCCAGGAAGTGAGGTTAGTTTGAATTTACATTTGCCTAACCAAGATCAGAATAAGTGGAGTTTTAATAGTAATACTTAGCTTGCCCCAGGTCACTCAGCAGGCCCATGGCAGAGCCAGAAATAGACCCCAGGTTTCCTGAGTTCCAGCCCAGTGCTCTCTCAAACTGCCTTTTAGCCTGACATAAGGCCTACCACTGTGGTCCTTACTTGAGCATAACTCTCCTTGCCTTCAGCAAGCCTTTAGCAAAGTCTCTCACAAGAGGCTATTGAAGAAATCAAAGCACCACAAGTGAAAAGCAAAGCACCGTCATTGATTAGAAAATGGCTAAAGACAGCATTGGAATAACACTTGTCAGGACAAAACCTTATAGTCAGGTCCCCCTGAGTTCCACTCTAGGGCTGATGAAGTTTGGTATATCTGTTAACAGCCTGGATAAGGGGCGAGCAGTGAGATGGCAGAGTTTGGAGGGGACACACAGTTATGTAGATCAAAGCCAGAGGAGCCGGCGAGGAATGTCAGAAGTTCTAAATAAAGCCAGGTGAATGGACAAGCTGATGGCAGATGCATGGTAAAGCACATTGCAGTGAACAACTTGAGTTCATTGCCACAAGATGTCATTGAGGCTAAGAGCTCAAAAAGGATTGGACATTTATATGGCCAATGAGAACAGTCCTCGCTATCTTAGATGGGTTAAAATTTATAAAGGATATATGGATTCATGACAGAAAGGCAGTGTTGCTTAGTGGCTTCAGCACCAGACTAGGATTTAGGAGACCTTTGTTCTATTTCCGTGGCTCACTTGCTAGAAGATTGTAGGCAAGTCACTTCCCTGTTCTGTGCTTCAGTTTCCTCATCTGTGAAATGGGGATATTGACACCGAGCTCCTTGAAAAGTGCTTTGAGAGCTACTGACAAAAAGTACTAGGTAAGAGCTAGGGATTATTCCAAATCCTCCTGCATTGGGATATAAACCAACAAGAAAGATTTTCCTGTGAACAGATTCCTCCGTAATGATTCACTACAGGGGTTCATGCACCTTCCTATGAAGCAGATGCTGTTGGTCACTCTCAGATGGGGATGCTGGACTAGATGGACCTTGGATCTGATCCATTCCTGATGGGAATCTTTCCTGAGTAAAGACAGTAAGATTTGACCTATGAACTTTACAATACGCTTATTGCTCTTATCGCTAGATCTCCCAGTGCTTTACAAAGTATCATTAATCCCATTTCACAGATAGAGAAACTGAGGCACTCAGGGGAAAGTCACTTGCACAAGGTCACCCAGCAGGCCTGAGACAGAGCTGGGAATTGATTCCAAATCAAGTGAGCTAGCCACTATGCTATGCTCCCTTCCAGTGGAATTTAGACTTTGAAAAGAATGGTCATGGAATGTAATTCTCCAATTAACAATCCCATCTGCACTCTGCCCACCCAACTGTCTGAAGGCGCTTGTCATTAACAAAGTGGTGACAATGTTTGCTTTGCAAGTAAATGTTTGTCAACTAGTGTGACTGTCAAGGTTTGGCGCTCTTGAGTTGTATGTCTTTAGTGATGTTAATTGGAAGTAAATTTACTAAATTACTCCCAATTATTTCACCATGAGTGAGATCAGAATCTGGCCCATCTACTTCACAAGAAGCTGTAAGATCACATAGCATTCCTACATTCTGTAAAATGTATTTTAAGAACTTTTTGTTTACAAACATTCATGTGATACTTGAGAGCAAATCTGGGACATGAACAAATGCTGTGTGATATACAACCCTCTGTAAACCTCATTTTTTCCATGTGTTGACATAACTAGATTATCAAACGGTGGAGCACATAAAGCATCTTATTGAGAAGATCCATGCTCCAGTGGTAGGTGCCACCCTGGGACATGGGAGACCCTTTGCTGCCATAGACTTCTTGCATGACCTAATGTCATGAAACACTCAGTCTCTTTGGCCAGGTCCTCAAAAGTACATAGGTGCCTAACTCCCATTGAAATCATCAAAATACCTGTGTGTCCCTGGAATGTGTCAGGGTTCAATCCAGTCCAGTGAGGAGTTGTCACCCCTGTAACTCAGGGCGCCTTACATGTTATTCTGCTGTGGCTCACAGTACAAGTCACATGCTGGCTTGCAGCACCCAATTACTTTTTGCAAACTGACCCCAACACCTGCCTCTCCCAAATTTCCCCCAAACTGTCTCTCTGCAGAATTCAGCTGTCTCACTGAACGCTCACAGAAGTTAAGTCCATTGCTCTTTTAAAGAGACAATACACTGCAGTTTATTAATTGAACTGGGGTTTGACACATTCTTATTTCAATCACAGCACTGGATTGGTTTATAGTGTAAAAGTAAAACAAGTTTATTAAACAAAAAGTTAAGTGATACCAAGTGTAAGGATACAAATGGTTACAAAGAAAAGTAAAAATAGGTATCTAAGACTAAAACGTAACGTCAGCAAGTTACAATCTTTGCCTATGCAGGTTTCTCATCTATATTCAATTCCCAAAGGGTTCAGCCCCATTGGTTGAAGAACCCAACATTCTGTGATTTTAAGAGCTCTGGCCCCTTGAATCCCCCAAGTGATGGACCTCCATGGGGTTCTCTTCCCTGTCATCCAAAAGCTTATTGGCCCTGCTTCAAGAGATAGGAAGCCTCATAGGGGTGAAGTCTCCATCCCCCTGTATGCAAATTGGGCTTCCATTGTTTCGATTCCTCGCAGCTTAGTTGACATTGGAGACAGGAAAATAGCTGCCTTTACTCCTGTCTGGGAGAAAACCTATTGCTCTCGGTGTTTGGTCACAGACTTTAAAGCATATCAGTGAGTA